GGTTGGCAGTTAGAGATTGTGCATAGTGAGTGGTCCAGACTGGGAGAGCCCTGGGAAAGGAAGTAGTTGGGATATGAACTTAGCTGTTTAAGAATGGGAATTGACCAACCTTTAACCAGAGCCTCCACACTAAAACATAATAATAATTTTAAAAATCACTTCACACTATTCTACAGAGTGGTTTTACCTTGCAGGTCTATCCAAATCCATTACCTGGAGCCCAGTGTGGACATGATTTCCGAGTGCAGTCTCAGAGAGAAAGAATGCTGCTTTGTTGGGTGGTTCCCAGAGGGGCATGAGGCAGTACAAATCCATAAGGCACAGGCTTGCACACAGATGTTTACAGAAGTTGTGTTAGAGTACCAAGTAAAATGGCTCTTTCAGAATCCACATTCTGTAAATATTTGTCAATTGAGTATGTAAACAAGAAAGAAAGAAAGAATAAGATGGGTGAAATTTAACTTTCCTCACTTACCAAAGTAAAGTTCTGATGCTGGTCAAGCTCTCCTATGGGAAAAGACAGAATCCTCATCACACTGTCAGGAGCATGTCTGGTTTTTCTCATAAAACTGTAGCTTATACTGCAGGGAATGTCTTATTCTAATGTGTAGTTTAGTTAGCATAGAGCATGTGCTCGGAGGCAGTCCACTTTTGTGCACATTAAAGAATGCGTCTTAGCTAGACTATAAAATCGAAGTCCAATTCAGGCAGCATCCTCCTCTGCCCTTAAGAAAAAGTACCTTCCCCAATCTCCAGCTTTATTCCCTACTTAGAATTTCACCAAAACCATCAACAAAGTCATTGTATTGATACAGACACCTGCTTTCTCAGGTTATTGGGTTAAATAAAATCTGCTGGAACTTCGAAGAATTTTCTACAGTGACTTTCCGTCCTTGCTGATTAATTAATATTCTCACCTGGGAAAGAGTGATTTTTCAGCCCTCTCACTTTCAGTAACATCAGCATGCAACTGTGACTTGAAAATAACCAAAATGCAGTTGTATTTAATGCTTCAGGTGACTGTGACAGAGCAGACAGAAACTGCTATTTTGCGTTCCTCTCTAATCTTCCCCCTAATCTTTCAAGAAGTCATCCCTTTCACATGGTATTCTAAATTCTGAAGAGAGGCCTCTGTTAGGCCCCCTCTCCCCCAGCTCATAAGAATTGACTTGCAGAAAAGTTACATCTGAAAAGAAAATGCAGGTGCTGACCCTAAGAGGTCGAACTCCTAAGCCCAGATCAATCAACTTTTGATGAAGAGGAAAAGGAGAATGAGGTTTTCTAAAGAAAGGACTCTACCCAGCACCAGGATTTCCTGCCCATTGTCTTGCTGTAACCCCTTTGCGTCCCACATAGGCCCTTTGTACCCTGGAGCCCCCAAAGAGAAGATTTGAGAAAGAGAAGTCTCCTTTATTTTCCACAAGGCCAGCTTTGAATAAATCTATTCCTTCCAACTAATTTCTGTCTCCCAAGTTCTTGGCAGAGCAGTGGAGCAGTATGAGCCTTAGATTGCAGTAACTCTACAAGCATGTTATATTGGAAATCCTGGACAAGATGGATATTAACTGAGAATCAAAAGTGACAGCAAAGATGATTGATAATAAAGCAAAATGAGCACACAAATCTGCTTCCTTTCTTGCTCCAATTCCTGAGAATGTCCAAAAATAACCTTTTTTAAAAAGAATATTTCCATGAAAGTACTAGAAAAAAGAAAGAATGCCATGAGAGAACCAGAAATCTTGGGAATTTCCTGGAAGACAACAACAAATGCAATCAAAGGAGAATAATGAAGATGACCAAAATCCAAAGAAGCTCAGAAAAATAATCCAGCTTTAGATATAGGCACATGCTCAAAAACAATAGCAAGCTCTCTGGAGGGCATGGAGGTGCAGAGTCTCGCAGTGGAAGACATAGCCAGAATCTTCGCCCCCCGATGTTCATGTCCTTTGGTCAAATGAAGACATTGCAGGCTCCTCAATACAGCAATGCGATCGTGGAACCTATTCCTCCACCCTGAGTCCTGGACTGTCTTCGAGCCTTGCTTTGGCCAGTATATGTGAAAGCAAAGACACAATACTGTCTTTTCTGAGCCTGGTCCTCAGAGGCCCTCATGTGTTTTGAATATTTCCAGTTCTGCCTCTGATATTGCCATGTCCTGTCCCCAAGACTCAGTGCGTGGATCTGAGAATAGGGCAGGTCACCACTTACTCAATCTGGAAACCCAACCAACTCCACAGTATGCACGTGAGACATAGGGTTTTAATGTCTGCTTGTCGACAAGTAGGTTAATTGCAGCAATGTATAAGCCTGAAGATCCCCCAATTGGTGTTTTTATCACAGCAGACCACTGTTTATGATAAAGCAATTGGTAAGCAATGGTGTTTGGCTCCCGTATAACCACCTGGCTGCACACTACAGAAAGGGAGCCCACACTTCAGCGAGGCCTCATTGGCACAGATGCATGAAGAAGAGGATTTGGGTTGAGATAACTCCACACTCCTAGACCCAAAGACCAGATACTTGGAGAAAATTAAACTAAACTGAATCTCTCTCTGCCAGGATGAAGAAGGCCCCTCTTTGTCACCACTGGGGTATGGCAAGAGGCCCCAGACTGCTTTCGCTACTATATTGTCAAAGTAATGCCAGAAATGAGACATATTATTAAACACACCGCTACCTTAAACAGAGCCTGTAAAACCACCTACGCTTGGGAGAGAGGTCTAGGAAGACACCAGTGTGTCGGTAACCGAGGGAACCCACCCCAATGTCTACTCCCACCTGCCTCCATTTCAGGCTTTAATAGAAAGAAGACAACCAAGAAGCACAAGAATGTTCAAGAAAATCCTTCACGTACTGAAAGAGCAAGTGATAAGACATAAGGATGGGACACTTAATCCTAGAGAAACAGTTCAGTAAAAGGAAGAGAACTGTTTGTAACAGTAAGCCCCTAGGGCATTAGGTTTCCCTATAAGGAAGTACCTTGCCGGGAGGAAAAGCTGCCCCTACGATCGTTCCTGGCTTCTCAGGCCAGGAGGACTACTAATCCCGTCAGCTTCAGGGTACAGGTCCACACGCTGAATATACTATGCAATAATTCATAGGCTTTGGTATTCATCTTTTCTAAGTTGTATAACATACTGCTATGCCGCAAGGCAGAGACAAGTTGCATAAATGGCTCTCTCACTCAGTTTTGACTAAAATGACTGTAAATACATTAGTTTTTTCCCTGATAGATAGATAGATAGAACGAATTTCTGTATTTCTCTTGATGTGGGTAAAGTATGTTGGAACCTAAGAACCAGCTTATGGCCAGGGTCCAGTAGCATATTATTTTTGAAAATGTGATAATATTCTCAAAGGAAAGATCCATCTTACTTGCATACCAAAAATAGAAAACTTCAGAATTCAGAAAATTAAATAAGAAATAATAAAAAAAAGCTTTCCCCCCCCCCAGAAAATAATAAAAAAGCACTTAAAATTAATATTTCCCTAAAAATGTTTGCTTAATTATTTTCCTTTTTTAAAAAATATCCTTTGGTATAACCAAGTTGGGGTGAGCTCAAAGCATAATTAACTAACTAACTCGGATGTCTCAAGACCAATCCAATAGCAAAAAGTTAGCAAGACCATCTCAACCCATGACTCAGCTCAGTGGTACGTTCCTATCATCTCAGGCACACAGAAAGCATTAATAGGAGGATCACAGTCCAGGCCCTCCCAGGCATCAAACAAGGCCTCATCTCAAAAATAACCATGGCAAGCTGGTTGTGGCTTATGCCTATATGATCCTAGCTTCTTGGGAGGCAGAGACAGGAGGATTATGATTCAAGGTCAGCATGGGGGAAAAAGTTGATGAGACTCCATCTTAACAAAAAGCTTGGCATGGTGGCATTTGCCTGTCATCCTAGCTAGGCAGGAAGCAGAAATTGGAGGATCACAGTTCAAGCCAAACTGGGCTCATAAAATGAGAGACCCATCTCAAAAAGAGCAAATACAAAATAGAATGGAGTCATGGCTCAATGTTAGCAAGCACAAGGCCCTGAGTTCAACCCCTAGTCTCCCTGCCCCCTAAAAACATCTCAGTATTATAATAAATAATAGAAAAGATAAGCCCAAGCACAAGGTGAGAAGATTTAATCAAGAAAAAAATAATAATACACAGGAAAATGATGGTAAAAGAAAGACAAGAAGGTCAATGTATTGAGTAGAAACTCCAAAGGAAAGAAGTGAGAAATGGATAAGAAAAAAACAATGAAGCATACAGTAGAGAAATTTTCCCATGGTAAAAAGTAAGAGTCCAGATTGCAGAAAGCTTCATATGTGCTAAGGAAAGGAAACATAGCACACATCCACATGCTTGCACACACACACGAATTTGAAAAAAATCAAACAAGAAGTGGCAAATAACAACCTACAACAGTAACACCAGCAAAAACACTGAAGTCTTCTGATAAACTCAAGTAATTCTTGAAGGAAGTTGTAAACTCACATGCACAGAAATATAGAACAAAATTGCAAATTATACCAGCATGGAAGGTGACAGGCAGGGAAGGTGGAACCAAGCAAAAGTGTGCTGGCTTCCAGGAAGGTGTTGCAAAGATACAGGTAATGGTAAAGACAATGTCAGCACTAAACAAAACACAGAGTGACATACAGGCAAAAGTACATGGAAAGAGACCTAGAGGGACACACAGATCAGGGGAGGATTGTGGGAATACACCTTGAACTTTACCAACTCTTAAATTTTGAAGTTTTTTGCAATGTAAATATAATCATCTATATATAAAAATAAAGGTTATTTTTTCAATAAGGTACAGAAATTGTGCTTGCTTTCTGTTTTCTTGGATGAGAAGAACTTGTAAGGATATTTATTTCTTATTTATTTTAGAATTATTTACAAAAGTGAAAAACTATTACATCTGACTTTAAAGTATACTTTTTTTTTACTTTTTCCCCCCCGCCTCAACTTCCCTATCCAATTCATCCATTCTTTGTTTAAGGCCAGGAGACATGATTACTCTTCTAGAGGATTCCAATGAAGACTGGTGGAAAGTAAGTATTTCTGTTACTTTAAAAAGAAAAAAAATCCATTTGATAATTATAGTTAAATAAACATCAGTCATTGATGAGTACCATCTTTTTCCTTTCAGGGAAAAATTCAAGACAGGGTTGGCTTCTTTCCAGCTAACTTTGTTCAGAGAGTACAACAAAATGAGAAGATTTTCAGGTGTGTTAGAACCTTCATTGGGTGCAAGGAACAGGGGCAGATAACACTGAAGGAGAACCAGGTGAGTGAAGCAAAAAGCCCAGAGCAGGTATGACCAAAACCAGCACCACAGTACATGTAAGGTTATGAAGAATTCCGTTCTACAAAAAGATATTCTTATGCCATCAGCTTTGGGGTAATTAGATCTAAACATGCAAAACCAAAATGTCAGGAAGCTCACTTGGTGGCATATGTTCACAAGAGAAAGCATACATTATGACACAGTGTCAGGATGGGACATCTCGTCCTCATTCTAGTCTCTAAGGACTGCTGGTCTCTGATGCGAGCAGCCACTCCAGTTTGGGCTCTGTGCCTGTGCCCACCAAGGTGTCTTCATGTCCCTGGGGTACTTCACTGTAACTTGCTGATATGCTCCATGGCTCATTAAATTTACCTCCAGTCACATGGACCCCTCTTAAATCTCCTTGTCCAGACCAAGTCCCTGCCCGTTCTCTGAAGACCATGACACCTTCTCATGACAGCATAACAGCTGGACAAACTACAGGCTCAATCAGTCCCAGGCGCTGGACATCTCCCCCAGCCGTCTGCACCTTCGTGCTCCAGTGCTGTGGTGAACGGAGGGTTCTTTACAGAACCCCCTGTCAGTTGAACCCCCTGCATCTGTGTGTCTTGCTTCTGGACCCCCTGTCTCATCCCTGGAATGTTGGTAAAGACAAAGACACAAGACGATCACCACTTACTCAACTCTGTCCTGTTCTTCCTCTGTGCCTTCTTCCAGCAGCAAAAGGGTTTCCTTCCACCCCTGCTCATCTGTCCTCCCCTCATGTCAGATCCTGTGTCCTCACTGCAAGGTGAAATAACACACCTCAACCTCCAAATTTGTTCTGGATATACTCAGAGAAGATTTGGGGAATTAGAAATTTCTTTTTCTCCAAATAAAGTCTCACAACAGACAGATTTCCAATTTTGAAAATCAAAAGCTAGCTTCTCTTCCTGTATTCTTGATAACAATTCTAATATTTCTCACAGCAATGAAGGCCTCTAGTTGAAAATGATAAGACTCACCCTATAAAGAAGTACAAAATAAAAAAACGCATTAATAATTTTAATACAACTCCGTTCATAGAGTTGCCCAAAGCACATCCTTAATGCCATTTTTATAATTCCCTTCAAAGATAGTTTCTAAATCACACACCAGAACAAACTCAGTCATTACTTTACATCTGATTTGTAGTTCTAAAAATAGTGTTTTACTCAACTTAACTACCATTTCTGTTCAACAGGTAGCTGCAAGTGACTTTATCATTTTCAAACTAACAAATGTACCCTCAAAGAATAATGACTTGCTTTTCCTTTATGACTATTCAAAAGAATCTGTAAAGAAAAAAGAAAGATTTAAAAAAAATTATAATACGAAGGAATAGTTTTTTAAAAAATAATAAGATGAGCCTAGTATGGTGGCTCATGCCTATAATCCTAGCCTCTCAGGAGGCAGAGATTGGGAAGATCTCAGTTCAAGGCCAGTCTGGGTAGAAAGTCATCAAGACCCCTTCTCAACCAACAGGCTAAACATGGTGGTTCATGTCTGTAATCCCAACTACACAGGAAGCATTGATAAGAGGATTAAGGCCTAGTCTAGCCTGGGGAAAAACACAAAACCCTATCCAAAAAATAAGGAAAGCCAAAAAAGGGGCTGGAGGTATGGCTAAGTGGTAGAATGCCTGCCTAGCAAGTTAAGGCCCTGAGTTCAAACCCTAATACTTCCAAAAGTGGGAGGAAGGTACAAAGTTTGATTCCTCGCATAATATTCAAGTAAATAAAAAATATGAAAAATAAGGCACCAATAATTCTGAGTATGGTTTTCACTGCGTATGTTAACAGAGGTGAGGAATGGAGTCAGTGAAGTTGGTTTTTCATAAATGCTAAGACACAGAAGTCCACCACTCATTTTGGATAGCGGTTTTGTGCCCTGTAGTAAGAGCCATGAAAACTGCTCAACCTCATGAATGCAGTAATTCTAGCTTTTAGCACGTATCCATGAAAATAATATAATAAAAGAGAAAGAATCTACTCAAAAGACAGTCATCAGAGTGGTGTTCATAATGGTGAAAATTAGCGACATAGTACCACAGTGACAAAGTCAACAACCATCCTTGGGTTTGATGTGATGCCAACTGTTACAGCCAGCATACCGAAACGAACCCAGAGCTCAGTCACAGCTTCAAGGAAACACAGAGAGAGACACAGAAGCAGACTCGCCTGAAACCCTGCCTTTATTCTTGGGACCCTGGTGCGCCAGATAAAGAAGGAGACATGACCCAGGGATCTAAAAGTTTCTGTTATTACACCCACCACCACCTTCCCCTCCTACCACCACCACACAGGCCAATGGAACTAGATGCCCGGTGGGAGAACATCTCTTGCAGAGAAAGCAAGATGTCCTGTGACCTCCAGAGAGAAGATGAGCTAGTGGTAGAGGTGAATCCCTGGACCATGGCTGAAGCTGACCTCCAGCTTTATGAGAAGCAAGGAGAGACCTAGAGAGACCAGACCCTTCAATTTAATTATTGTCTCACCATTTTTTTTTTTTTTTTTTGCCATACTTGGGGTTGAACCCAGGACCTCACACTTACTAGGCAAGGGCTCTGCCATTTGAGGCATGCCCCAGTCTTTCTGTTTGTATTTTGTTTTTGAGATAGGGTCTCTCTAACTTTGCCTGTGTTGGCTTCCAACTTGCAATCCTCCTGCTTCCATCTCCAGAGTAGCTGGAATTACAGGCGTAAGCCACCACCCCTGGTTTGTCACCATCTTAAATGATGGTTTTGTAAACAGTGAAAGACATTAAGTTAAATATAAATGATACAATGGTAGTGAAAAATAAATAAGTGGCAAAAGTGTAGCATTTAAGGGCTTTTTTCTTTTCCATTTAAATTACTTTCACAGCTGGGCTGGAGGTATGGCTCAACTTGGTAAAGCACCTGCCTAGCAAGTTCAATGCCCTGAGTTCAAACCCCAGCACCACATAAAAAAGAAGAAAAAAAAATTACTTTCACAGTGCAAATTTTTCAAACTAAGTTTTAAGAGAAGAATAAGTAAAATTCAGCCTTATCTTTTGACTCTAATAGTGTAAAGAGACATTGTTAGTTTACTGTGGTCTTCCTGGGCCCCATCCCAGCGTGTGCAAGCTCACATGTGCATGAACACACAGTATCATGTCCCGTCATTGCCATAGCTGATGGCAGTGGCTGCTACTTGTATAAACACAAATACCCCCAGAGGCACCTGCCATCTGGCACCTTTTGGTTAAGGTCTCTAATTTTAGGGAACTGGGGCCCTGAGCTCTAGGATTTCACCATGGTTTTGTGGTTTTTCTTATAACTGCCATTCTTCCCTTTCATAGAAACTGTGCATATATGGTATGCCCACTTCAGGACACACTGAGTTTTTAAATTGCACAACCTCTCTTTGACCTGGTCACTTTGGACATAGCATATGTTTAGAGAGATCAAAAGCCATGGACATGTTGGCATGATTTTCCACCCAAAGTCATTTCTCCTCCCTGGAGGTGGCATTTGCCCAGTGCATCACTAGCTCACGCCAGAGGAAACAGAAGCAGTGGCACCTGAAGGGCACCTCTCTGTGACAGCACACCTGGGGAGTCCCATCAGTCCCACACCTATGGCAGATGGCACAGACCACTTTTTCATGGAAGCATAAAAGAATAGATGGCTTATGATGACCTTCCTGGATCTTTTTCTTGAAAGAGAACATTTATCTCTAGCCCCCGCTTCTCAAAACAAGAAAGAACAAAATAAGTTCTGTCCTAGACATTGTCTCAATAATAATTTTTCCAAGTACTATCTTTATTAGTCATGATTTAATCATGACATACATACACATTATATAATATTTATCATTCTTAAACACCTATGTTTTCTTTGCTGTCACACACATGCCCTGTGAATTTTGTAAATTAATTATTCATTATTTCTATTTTATAAAAGAGGGAACAAAGGTTCATCAAGGTTATGTGCCTTGCTCAAGAAGCAAAAACCTGGTAAGCAGCCAGGCTGGAACATAAACAAAGGTCTGCAAATTCAAAGTCAGCACCAACACTGAGTCATGCACCCTGGACAATGTGGGAAAAACTCTGAACAATAAAGAGCCACCTATACAGCGTGGCTCCCAGGTAGACAAGTGTCATAAAGGCAAATGTCTAGGCACCAGGGACCCCTTCCTGTTCAAGAAAGTCTTTTGAGTAAAATAAATTCAGAAAGGACGTTCATCATTCCTGGCAAACGTTATTAATCTTGTTACCACCACGTGTGACTTTTTCTCAGAGTAATCTTGGCTTTCCCACTTGAGATAAAGAGGGTTTTTTATGTCATTAAAATATACATCAGTGAAGCCAGAAGGCAAATTAAAATTTGCTCAAGTTAATCAAGTTTCAGAAGTAGAACGTCTGCTCGGTTACTCCTACCAGTTCCTTGGCTGTTCCCCCAAATACTTTTCTGGAATGAGCTTCACCGAGTTCTCCACACTTGGCAGCCTCATGGTTGAACTGACCATCTGCTGTGTGGGGGAGTGGGGTGAGGGACGGTGAGGCAGACTGCCCTGGCTCTCCCTGTCAGCCTGAACCTGGAACCAAATGGTCTGGCCCATGTCTTTAGGAAAATGCCATGATCCTTGATCATTTTTGCAGTCTGGTGTTCCTTGGGGTATGATCTTTGGACCCCTGAATCAAACTCATTGAAGAAGCAAGAATCCTTTATTGAAAATGCAGATTCCTAAAGGCCCTCCAGACCTGCTCCCTCCAAACTTCTCTGGGAAAGGCCATCGCAGGTGTCTTTTACAGGTGTTGTGATCAAAGCAAAAGTGTGAGAATGACCTTCATTTCTGTTATCTCACTTTAAGGCCTCTAGTTATTCTGTCACAACTAAAAGCATTTTTAGATCATTAGATACGGGCCAACAGAAGGTACTGAGGTCTCTTTACCCTTACAGAAATTCTCTATTTTCTACCTTTGTCATTAATGTGGCACCTGTGTTTTATTATTAAAGAAATCCTGCATTTAATAAATCTATTATTAAAAACAAATTTTAAAATTGGCTTCCACATTAGTTTCCTAAATTATTTTAGTTGGAAGATTTCAAAACTTGTTTGTTAATTG